TATCAATACTGTCAATATTATCAATACTGTCAATATTATCAATACTATCAATATTATCAATATTATCAATACTATCAATACTATCAATACTATCAATACTATCAGTAATATCAATATTATCAGTACTATCAATATTATCAATATTATCAATACTATCAATATTATGAATACTATCAATACTGTCAATATTATCAATATACTGTCAATATTATCAATACTATCAATATTATCAATATTATCAATATTATCAATATTATCGATATTATCAATATTATCGATATTATCGATATTATCGATATTATCAATATTATCAATATTATCAATATTAATGTCACCAAATTATTTTGAAACTTTCGATACGACAATTTTCGGTGACACCATAGAGTCACCACTCGACTGCAAAGTGTTAAAGAAAGAAAGAAAATTGTATTTGGCTAATTGGCCTTGCAATCGATGCAGAAAATGATTATTTTGCACAAGGATCCGCGGTCTAATCGTATAAACTACAACATCGAATGTTCAGGATTCGTTGTAAAGAAAGACGCCGAGGTTCCGAGCATTCTCGAAAACTGCACAATGAAAAGAACGTTTCACGGGGCCACGGCCCGACTACCGTAAAAGTGTCAAAGAAATGCAGGCTCGTTCTGTGAACATTTACCGGCACGTAAATAAACGAACGCGAGGGGCGGGCACCCCGTCTTCGCCGTGATAATTGAACGGGTCGCCGATGCGATCGTGGAAATTATACGAATCCTTTGACCTGTAACAGGTTTTATGCGCAGTCCTGTACACCCAGCGTAGGAAAAATGCGGCGGCCGTAATGAACCCTTCAATCGTTGGATTCCTACGGGCGATGAAGCAGACGTTGTCTCATTCGCACGCTACAAAAAACGAACAGTTCGACGAACGGAGGGTGGAGGGGGGATTGAACGGCAAACCAGAAAGAAAAACAGAAAAATCGGGCCTCTCTGTCTCATTCTTCAACGATAAACTCGACGACACAACGTGTATATGCAGGATGTCGAGGAGATCGTACAGTCATTTGCGGCGAGACTGGTTCCTCCGCAGTGGTGCCAGGCTGCTGGCTAAACCGTGGCGTCGCCGACGTTCGAACTAATTCGGGCTAGTTCGACTTTTCGGATCAACGGTAATGTCTCCCTAACTGACGCTCAGATTGTACACGGAACTGGACAATTTGGGAAGTCGAGATACGATTATTCGAGCCTTGCGGCTCGTTATTATAATTGTGGACAATTTATAACTATAAAAATAAACCGCAAGGCTCGAATAATCGTATCTCCTCTTCCCAAATTGTCTAGCTTTGTGCACGATCTAAGCGTCAATTAGGGAGACATTACGCTCTGACCAAACGAAACGCAGTCGGCGCTGGTAGTCGGCTTTCTCCCACTTACCGCTTCTCGTCTCGTCACGTGATTCGAGGATTGGTAACATCACGGTTTAGCTGGAAGCGTGGCACCACTGATTCTCGACGAAATTAGTCGGCGGACGTTTTTCATCGGTAGCGTTCCATCAGCATTTTTCAATGTTGATTTGTCAAGCGATGCGCTTGAGAATCACAAATTTTCCGATATTTGTAATAAATCGATTCACTAATTCGAACATTCTATTGTTTGCTGTTTTATTCACAGTAGAATGAAGCAAATCTATAAAATCAGATATTGACAATATCAATTGATAATAAGTAGACTGCGGATTTGTATGCAAAATGAAAATCGTCTGGGTTAATTGTGAGACCTGTAAGTTAAGCGAGAATTGACAATTATAATAGGTCCCTAAATATTCTTCAAATACCATTACAATTTCTTGTATTCGACCTATTCATTTTCGTCTTGAATGCATAAAAAATCCGCGGTCTACTAATTATTAATTAACGAGGTCTTTCAAAGTTTTCCTTTAAACCCATGACTGTTAGAATGTTGAAGAACTAATTGATGAAGAACACCGTAACTGTTCAATTTCTATTTGGTTAAATAAATTTTATAAATCATTTAATTACTTAATTTCATGAGAAGTTTGATATTGTTAACGCGAAAGTCAACGTGTTAAAAATAGAATGTCCAGTCTTGAAGGAACTTCGCTGTGAAAGCACGAAGGGTCTCAATGATTCCGACTGGCAGCGATTTCTCTCATTGCTTTATTCTAGTTGCTGTTCTAAGTTAAATGTTTATCGAATAATGTCGGCATCGTTGCTCGATTATAGTCTGACAAAGATAAAAATAGCGTTGCTGTCGAAGTAAAAAGTTTCGAAGGCAACGCAGAGTTTCCTGAAACTGGGTCAAAGTTTTAAAGGACCACGGTATCGGGAGGATCTCCTTTAGGCCAGCAGCGTAGAGACACCATAACCTGCCGATAAAGTAGCCAAGGCTAGGATTCAATCGGCGAGGGACACATTGGTCAATGACCTAGTTAGGAGGACGTAGGGTTGCGAGTTTCACTGTGAGACTGGGTCAGGAAGTCACGAGGCAGGCAACACGTGTTAACGTTGACAGATGGACACTATAGATTTATCCTCTGCACTCCACAGTATCCCATCTGCAGGTTCCTTATGGCATTTCGACACTGCAGGGCTTGGGAGATGATACTCCATCTTCGATATCTGTAAAACTGCAATCTCTCACTCTGTTCGCTTCGAACTTTTTCATTTAGAAACTTCCTTTACGACTTTTTCTTTCGCAGACCTTCTGGCCTTTTTCATTTGCAACTGCTTTATGACATTCTATTTTTGAATTTTACCTGAACTTTACGTCTTTAAGACGTCTTAAATGTGTCTGTCTTCTGGATTAAATATGTCTGTCTTTAAGGCGTTTTAAACACAGCTGTATTTGAACATCCGGGACGTACTTTTAAGGACATAAATTTCAGAAGTCTTAAAACGACGTTCAATTTAAGTCGTAAGACGTTCAAACCTGAAATGGACGTAAAATGGGTGTCTTTAAGACGTCTCGGATGTTCAAAAACAGACATCTTTAAGACGCCTCAAGGACGTAAATTTCAGAAGTTTTAAGACGACCAATTTAAGTCGTAAGATATTCAGGCTTGGTATGGACGTAAAATGGATGTTTTTAAGACGTCTCGGATGTTCAAAAACAGACATCTTTAAGACGTCTTAAGGACATCAATTTCAGAAATTTTAAGACGTCCAACTTAAATCGTAAGACGTTCAGGCCTAGCATGAATGTAAAATGGATGTCTTTAAGATGTCTCGGATGTTCAAAAACAAATATCTTTAAAACGTCTTAAGAACATAAATTTCAGAAGTTTTAAGACGACCAATTTAAGTCGTAAGCTATTCAGGCCCGGCATGGACGTAAAATGGATGTCTTTAAGACGTCTCGTATGTTCAAAAACAGACATCTTTAAAACGCCTCAAGGACGTAAATTTCAGAAGTTGTAAGACGTTCAGACCTGAAATGAATGTAAAACGGATGTCTTCAAGATATCCATGATGTTCAAAAACAAGATTTGCAGTTTAAAACATGTACAAGGTGATCACTGAGATGCGACCGAATCGAGATATAGATCTGTAGAAGCTGACGCTACATATCGTCCAGTTTCTCCTCTAAAAGCGATCATAGAATTTCACAGAAATGTCCGCCGACCGCGGAACGAGCCTGACCGCGAACGAGTGACGTTCGCCGGACATCCTGCAGGCGTCGACTACGCGGGCCTGCACAACGATTTTACAGGAACAAACTACCGCACGTAGGTCTAGTTTAGTGTCTACACAGACACTACGCGTTCTTCTGAAGCTGACATGACCAAACGACCAGGGGGTAGAACGACGTTTTTCGGCGTATCAATTCGATCGCAGTCGATTCCCGGCGCGATTACAAAAGCGGCCGGATATAACGTATCGATAAGATGTCGTCGGCCGTGGTCCCCCTCTATCGAAAGACGCGACCACCGCTTTCCACGGATATATCGCTGCAGTTCCCGCGATTGTTCTCCCGATTGTTTCCGCGATTCATTTGCGGCGTAAAAATCCGAAACGAGAACCGTCACCACGGATGTACAGGGTGATTCATTACAACTGTTATGTATCTCTCTTTGTTACGGTTGACGATACCCAAAAATGCTAGAGGAACAACTTGTGTGGTTCGAAGGAACACGTATTGCGGTGGAAATGGTTTCTTTCTCGAAGGTCATATTTCTCGAGATTTCAAAGTCATCGATGTTTTTTTAAACGGGATTACATATTTCTAGCGTTTTATCACGATGGCTGAGATCGAAACCTTCGCGTGACCTTGAATGCGAATAAATTAATTTTAATTAATAAATTAATTTCAATTCGGTCTTTTCATAGGTCACTAGATTCGGCTTGATCTTAGCTATCATGATTTAACGATACAAATATGTAATTCTATTTTTTAAAAAAAAGCGGTGTCCTTAAAATCTCGGAAAATAGGACCTTTAAAAAGAAATTATTTTCAGTGCAACATGTACCCTTTCGAACCGTACAACCTGTTCCTCTTGCATTTTTCAGCATCGCTAACGATAACGGAGATATTGCTTTGTAACAGCTTTATTGAATCACCCTGTATATACAGCTAGAAATCTGCTATAGATTCGGTCGTCACTCTCTCTCTCTCTCTCTTTCTCTGTCGCTTTCTCTCGTCTCTACCCCCGGTTTTCGTTGCTATGCAAGTGTGGCAGGCAATACGAGTACCGATATTGTCTTCCGTGTCGCTCACTAGCGAGTCCTCGGCGTCGGTGAGGTCCTCGAAAGGGAAATTGCAGCCCGCGGACGTCAGTCCTATCGAAAGAACACAGAGAAAATAGGAGAAGGAGCGTTACCCTATCGCTATAGTGATAGATCGGGCCGCGTTCCCCGTCTCTTTTCTTCTGAACGATAAGAGGCCTTATCGTCGTCGCCGTTATTCGTAGAGAAAGACAGCCCCTGTGTGTGTGTTCGTGCACGTTTATTAACGGAGAGAATCGAGCTGACCGCGGATCAGAGGACTCCGATCGCTTCGGGGGGCCACCGAATCGCTCCGACTTATCGAACTTGTCGAGAGACTCTGCTCTCACTCCACTCTAGATTTCTTCGCGCTATCGTCGCGCACCATCAACCTGGAAGTCTCGCGGATTTACCGGCGGCCATCCGGAATACGTTTCAACATCGAACTCGTCGATTTTCGGGTAGTCGATATTCGCGAGACAGAATCTGATGGATTCAGACGGTATTTTAGAACGCGATTTTTAACAAGCTCTTCTTTTCAGATTTTTCGGGGAAACACTGGAGAACACGTATCTGTGTCGGATTGTCTCCCAGATTTTTCGCCTATATTTAACACCGGGTCTGTATTGAAGTTTGACGGCATTGTGGAAGAGTGAAGGAGTAGAAAGGGAACGTTTCGTCCTGATCCCGCTAAAGAACTCATCGGAGGCTATCTAGCGGGCCATCCGGGTTCTGTTGTATGCTTCTAACTCATTGGTGAAATATAGAATAAGTTGGCTTCTTGAAATGTGTTACACTGTAACATTGTACATTGTAACATTGTGCACTGTAAGATTGCACATTGTAATATTGCACACTGTAACATTGTACATTGTAACATAGTAACATTTTACATTGTACATTATAACATTGTACATTGCACATTGCACCTTGTACAATATCAAGTTTATTCGATGTACATTGTACAGTGCCAAGGTTATTTATTGTACATTGCCCAATGTCAAGGATATTTATTGTATATTTTACGTTGTACAATGTCAAGGTTATTTATTGTACATTGTACAGTGTCAAGGTTATGTATTGTACATTGTACAATGTCAAGCTTATTTATTGTATATTTTACATTGTACAATGTCAAGCTTATTTATTGTACATTCCACATTGTACAATGTCAAGCTTATTTATTATATATTCTACATTGTACAATGTCAAGCTTATTTATTGTACATTCTACATTGTACAATGTTAAGGGTATTTATTGTATATTGTACAATGTCAAGGTTATGTATTGTACATTCTACATTGTACAATGTTAAGAGTATTTATTGTATATTGAACAATATCAAAGTTATTTATTGTACATTGTACATTGTACAATGTCAAGCTTATTTGTTGTACATTGTAACATAGTAACATTTTTACATTATAACAATGTATATTTTACATTGTAACGTTGTACATTATAACACTGTACATTCTAACGTTGTACATTGTATCGTTATACATTGTGACATTGCACAGTGCAAAATTCTACATTGTAACATTGTGCATTGTAAAATTGTACACTGTAACATTGTACAATGTGGCACTGTACACTGTAACATTGTACACTGTAATATTGTACACTGTAACATTGTACTCTGTAACATTGTACACTGTGGCACTGTACACTGTAACATTGTACTCTATAACATTGTACACTGTGGCACTGTACACTGTAGCATTGTACGCTGTAATATTGTACACTGTAGCATTGTACGCTGTAATATTGTACACTGTAGCATTGCACACTAACATTGTACGCTATAACATTGTATACTGTGGCATTGTACACTGTAACATTGTATACTGTAACATTTTAAATTTAACAATATAGTTTGTATAGTACAAAGAAAGGTCAGAAGATCCGAAATTGAAAATTGAGCATGCTCGAGAACGCTTGTCTGCTACAAATCTAAAACGACTCGTCTTATACAACAACGATCTCAATTTTCAAAACAGATTTCCTTCCCTTGCGATCCCACAAAAATCAACTTCTTTTCTGTTAATTAGCTACTCGTACAACGAATTTCATACAGTCGTACATTGACTGAATTACTCGTAAACAGTGAATTAGATACTCGTACAGTGAATAAAATATTTGTACAGTGAATTGGGTACTCGTACAGTGAATTAGGTACAGAATAAAGATCGTGGAACATAGACGGAGAGATGTGTACACCGTTTAGGGGTGGTTCGAGCGAGGATCGATCCCGTCGAGGATCATTCTTTCGAACTCGAACGGCGTCGAACGTTCGACAAAGGAAAAAATAAAGGAACATCGAAGTGATCCCACGGAAACCGTCTCCTCGGAAACGAGTTTGTCGGCGGCTCGCCGATGAAATCTGAACGCGAGTAAAGCAAGCAAGCAAGCAGTGGCAGCTTCTATAGTACAGTAACGTGAGAGGGGGGGCACACGGATCGGGTTAAGATGTAGCATAATACAATCGGTGTGAAACGAGATAGGTGTTGGTACGTATGAGTGTGTCTGCGGGCGTGTTTGTGTGTGTACGTGTGTGATATACATATGGCATGATGATACAAGGCTCCTGCGGAAGCGATGATTAAAGGTTAGGTCAGGCTTACCCTCACTGTCGGCCTTCAAGTAGAGCTGCCCCTTTGGGCTCAGACACTGCCGATACTCGGTCGTGTAACATTCTGTATTCATTCAGAAACCAAATTTCAAGTTATCAAAATTTTCATGGACCACCCTTTCGCGCGTGCTCGTACATTATCGCGGTGTGCCCCGACGTTCGTCGAACGTCTAGCTCAAAGGATCGCTTCCCCCACCCTTTCACCTTCGCATTTCCTTCTAATCCGATTATTATTGCTTCTGAACTAGCGTCAAAGATTTTGCAAATTTCTTGTCGACGTGGTATGAAAAATATTTGGACTCGCATAAATCGGGGTGCCAGGGTTGGGCAAAATGTAATCTCATTATTGATTAACGATTATAACTCGTAGTTGCTCCTACGAAATTATAATAATTTATAATAATTTGTAATAATTGATAATAATTTATAATAACTTGTAATAATTTGTAATAATTGATAATAATTTATAATAATTTGTAATAATCTATAATAATTTGTAATAATTGATAATAATTTATAACAATTTGTAATAATTTGTAACAATTGATAATAATTTACAATAATTTGTTATAATTGTTAATAATTGATAATAATTTATAACATTTTCTAATATTTTATGGTAGTTTATAGTAATTAATAATAATTTATAATAACTAAAGATTTATAATCGTCGATCATAAATCAGACAACTTTTTACCCAATTCTGATCTGCAGATAAATTGTTGTTAAAGCATGCAGTTTATCCTCTTTTCGATTGTTTTAACACTAAACCTATCCAAGTCAGTAAAAAAACCGCATTTTACACATTTTTTGTCTTAAATGTTGCTAAAATTAAGAAGACTCTTTCACCGAAAATACTTGAATCAATTTCTTAATCGAAGTATGCATCGCAATAAAAATGTCGGAAACGTTTAAACAAATGCGGTCTCTTTATCGTTCTAAAATAACACGTTCATTGTAAGACTCGATAGGTTTACCGTTGTCTCGCGTGCAGTGCCTACGCGCTATTTTCATTTTCGCAATAACAGATTGACAATTCGTTATCCTGTCATAATAATTTAATCTTCACCGGGCGCTCCCTTGTCGACTAATCGATTCTCGAAACGAACATTTTTCATTCACCTTTCATACGCTTCTCATTCGCTTTAATGAATTCAACGAGTTTTCGATGTCTCAGGCATTTATACAGGGTGTTCGGAAAATCGTAGTACGACCTGCAGGTGGATGATTCTGCGTGCAAAAATAAGTCGAAAAATAGGAATAATATTTTTTTCGATTAAGGCTCCGTTTTTTGAGAAAAAAATTCGGTTGAAAAAGTAATACATACTACTGAATAGGATCAGCTGACGCGTCTGGTTATGACACGCCAATTCTACTTCTCAACTAGAATTTATATATATTTATATTATATAATATATATATATATATTTATTTTTATAATTATATATATTATTATTATTATTATAATTATATATATATTATTATTATTATTATAATTATATATATTATTATTATTATTATAATTATATATATTATTATTATTATTATAATTATATATATATTATTATTATTATTATAATTATATATATTATTATTATTATTATAATTATATATATTATTATTATTATTATAATTATACATATTATTATTATTATTATTATTATTATATATATATTACAAGCCACGAGAACTTAACGCATCTTCCAATTCAGATTTCTCGAGAACGGAGTCTTAAATGAAAAAATGCTGTTCTTCTTTCTCGGCGTATTTTTGCACGTAGGATCATCCCCTTGCCGGATGTACCACGATTTTCCGAACACCCTGTACAGTCTGCGAGTATTACGCGAACTCAGTTTGCTCGGCGAGACAAATGTTCACGGAACACATTTACTCGGACTTACATATGCGTTTCAATTTGTATCCGGCAATTAGTGCTGCTCTAATTTATCGCGAACCGTATCCGATTTACTATAAGAGTTTCAATCGAGCGACGATTAGGGCAGGCGAGAGAATGAAGCGTCTCGTGAATTGTAGATCGGCAAATAATCCTGTCGGTCAACAACTATTCTAGTCCTCCTGTTATGAAGTTCGTGATAGCATTATGTAATTCTTGATGATGCCCTACATTGGTCCGGTCACTATCGATTCAACTTGGAATTAATTAGTGCATGCCGTTTGAACCCCCGACGGTTAATGACATTGCAAATGTTGTAGATTCGTTCGGACAATCAATCCTCCGCGCTCTCGAACGAATGGAGAAAACTGCCTCTAAATATCGTTTAAATACAATTAAATCATTTCAATGTACAAATTTGCCTAAAATAACATCTTTTTGCACACGTTTCCCTTCGATCGTTTAACGTTAATGTTGCTAGAAAGCCGGTCGAATTTTCTGCTCGGAAATGACATGAATATTCGAATGCGTTCGAACGGGGCAAAAAA